TAACCACTTTAAAATGGCTTTTTGGTTGCTTTTAGTCAGAAAAATTAAAGAAAATGATATACATACAGCAAGATAATATAACTTCACTTACCTGGCCTATCACTTGAAGCAAACATCCATCCCTTCTTAAAAGTCTGTGTTAAAAGAGCTGCCTGTTGCGCCATTTAATTAAGGCGACTGCTGTAGCCTATATCCAGCTTAGGCTGTTTTCCCTAAGTTTGTATATATACTGTTTGAATGACAGCTTGGTAAATCTGTTGGCGATCAAATATTTAATATCGCTACTCATCATAAGTACTTGGTACATTATCAGTGCAGCGGCAGACGTTCAAAGTAATATACCGTAATTTACATCTCTTTGATGATTGGTTGATATCAGAAGGGAGGCTAGCCTCCCCTACGAGGTTTCTTTTCTCAACACTCCTCAGCGCTGAAAGTGAACACTCTATGGTGATTGGCTAATTTTTTTACCAACTGAGGCATGAGAGCTCAGGGCTGCGTTCAGCCCCGACAAAATGGTGCAAAACGTTTTTTAAACGGAAACGGTGGTGCATTGGAGCATCGGAGCCTCGGTATCAATCGTCCCATCACTATTTCAAGTCATGTATTTGTTTATTTGACAAGTAGTCGAGTAGAAAGCGCTATAATGTCATTTAGTCTCTGTGTTCTAAACGTGTTGTTTATTTTAGCGTGTAAAGCAGAGTGAGCATAAACCTTGTTGTATTTTAGATATGGGTCTAAAAGAGAGAGAGAGAGAGAGACTGGGTTACAGAGTTGGTTGCCTTGGCAACAGAGCATGAATAGACTAAAAGATGCTGCTTCTTGTTGAACATCTCTCTCTTCATGTCCCCTCACACTTATTTCCAGGAGGGTAGATAATGGTGTTGAATTATTTACTAAGACTGATGTCTGTGTGGACGGCAGCTTTAACTGCACGTGTTTGAATAATTCACCAGGTTGTTCCTGAGATGGCTCTCCGTAGCTAGGATCACATGTCCTTCA